TGATGAAGAATGAGAGACCACATGGAGCACAGCCAAGTCATCCAAGCCAAAGTCACGAGATCATCCAATCCCCAATCGACCCCCCAACTAACTGAAGACACACCCATGAGCCCATCTGAAATCAGTGAGCCTCACCCAGATTAATAGAACTGAGTTTAGAACCGACAATGCAGAGTCTTGTGAAATAATAAATGATTAATGTTGTTTCTTTAAATAATTTTTTGAGGTGAAATTCACATAACATAAAAGTAACCATTTCAAAGTGAACAATTCAGTTGTATTTAGAATATTCACAATGCCGTGCAACCACCACTTCTATCTAGTTCTAAAACATTTTTGTCACCCCAAAAGGAAACTCTGTACCCATTAAGGAATTTCTACTCCAATTTCCCCCTTCCTGCAGCCCCTGGCAACCACCAATCTGCATTCTGTCTCTATGGATTTACCTATTCTAGATATTTCACATAAATGGACTCATATAATAAGTGCCATTTTTGTGTCTGGCTTCTTTCACTCAGCCTGATGTTTTCAAGTTCATCCTTAATCAGTAGTATTCATCAGTACTTCATTCCTCTTTGTGGCTGAGTATTATTCCATTGTACGTATATACCACAGTGTGTTTACCCATTTATCTGTTGATGGACATTTGAGCGGTTTCCACCTTTTGACGGCTGTGAATGCTGTGAACATGTGTGTACATGTACTTGTACAGCTCTTTTGTGTATGTTCCTAGGTGTGGAATTGTAGGGTTATATATATTATATGCTTAACTTTTGGAGAAAACGTCAAACTGTTTTCCACAGTGGTTGAACCATTTTACATTTCCACAATCAATGTACAAAGGTTCCAACTTCTCTACTAGAAGTTGACGCCTGGGTTTCTACTGCTTGCCAACACCTATTTTCCATTTTTTTAAATTATAGTCAACGTTAAGGTGTGTAAAGTGGTATCTCATTGTGATCTTGATTTTCATCTCCCAAATGGCTAGTGATGTTGAGCACTTTTTCATGCAATGATTAAATGTTGGAGTGGTTTATTATATAGCATTACTTAATTGATGAACAGAAGAAAAAAAAAAAGTAAGCAAAGTCAGATTGCCCTGCCCTCATGGGGCAAACAGTCTAGTAGAAGTGACAGACTATAATCCAATAATTGTACAAATAAAGGTAAAGTTAGCACTGCAGTTAGTGCTGTAAAGGAGGGGTCCTTAGCACTATGAGAGCACACAGGAGACCTAGGATGGAATGTCATAGAAGGCTCCCCTGAAGAAATGGCCACTAGAATAAGATCTAAAAAATGAGTGGAACTTAACAATATCAAGGAGGGAGTGAAAGGAGCGCATAAAAATGCCTATACTGGGAGGAAGCATAGCAAAAGGAAAGGTTGAATGAGGGCCAGTATGACCTAAAAAAGAGAAACCTAGAGAAGCCAAAAGATGCAGGTACAGATAAGGTAGGAAATACAGGTAGAGGCCAGACCATGTAAGGTCTTTGGGTTAAGTTAAAGAATCTTAACCATTGTCCAAGAGCAATGGGATGTCATTAAAGGCTTTTAAACAGAGTTCTTACACAAAACAAATTTATGTTTTGAAAAGATCACTATCTTTTAGTAGGGGAAAAAGTAAATATGGCTAGATGAGAAGATTCAAACACTATTCCTATAAATTCAACTGGATTGAATATCAGGGAGAACAAGATATCAAAGATGACACCTGGGTTTCTAGCCTGAATAAATGGATGTACTATGGCACTCCTCATGGAGACTGGGAACACAGATTGAGGACTAAGTTTGAGACAGAAGAACTAGTTTGGTTTTAGTCATGTTGAGTTTGAAGTGTCATCTGAGTAGAGCTATTAGGTAACAATTATACATACAAGTCTGATGCTTAAGTGAAAAGTTAGGTTAGCGACACAAATTCACAAGACACGTACTTGGTGGGAAAAAATGAAGCCTTGGATGTGGATGAGATCGTGTAGGTAGAAAATGGAAAATATCAACAGAGGAAGGCCAGGACTGAGGCTTGAGTGTCCAATTGTCTGTGTAAAGGGATATGAACCTGAAAAAGAGTCTGAAACAAAGCACCTGGAAAAGTAAGTGTAAAGCTGGGAGTCACAGAAGACAAGATTGTTTGCGATAGGCAGCAGTAGTCAGCATTGCAAACACTGATGAGAATGCAAGTCAAACAAGGACCAAAATATGTCTATGGATTTGTGGCAATCATGTATTGATGAACTCAGCAACAGCTGTTTGTGTGGAGGTGGAAGGGGCCAGTGGGAGTGGATTGAAAATGAGTGGGAGGTGAATACCTCTCTAGAAGTACTGTGTTCATCATAGCATTATCTTCCTGAGCTCATCAAATCCAACCACTCCCAAGCCAACTGGTCAAGGTCCACTCTGAGATTTCCTGCCAGCAACTCACTCTGAGTCCGTCCTAGCTTAAACCCGCCTGGAGGGTAATGCGGACTCCCACACCCAGACTTACCGGGCAGACAACTATGTCCTGGGGAGGAAGTAATTTTAATATAATAGAGTATTAAGGCATCTGGATATTTGAAGGGGCATTTGCTCTAAATAGTATCTGGACTAGAGAAAATTTCAGCCAAGTATGAGCTGTATTTTTTTTTTTTTTTCAGTACGCGGGCCTCTCATTTTTGTGGCCTCTCCCGTTGCGGAGCACAGGCTCCGGAAGCGCAGGCTTAGCAGCCATGGCTCACGGGCCCAGCCGCTCCGCGGCATGTGGGATCTTCACAGACCGGGGCATGAACCCGTGTCCCCTGCATCGGCAGGCGGACTCTCAACCACTGCGCCACCAGGGAAGCCCAGCTGTATCTATTTATTCAACAAGCATTTATTGAATCTCCTAAGAAGTAGGGATGCACAGTAAAATAAGATATAGTCCCTTTCCCTAAGAAACCTTGAACTGAAAAAGGAAGACAAAAATAGACCAGTGGTTACAGCGTGGAGTGATGTGTTCTTAGAGAGCAAACACGGGGAAGGAGCAACTAAATCAGACTGGGATTTCAGAAGAGACTTCTGAGAAGGTATCGTTCTCCAGTGGTATTTTGAATGATGAATAGAATGAGATAAGAGGATGAAGAAGAGTAGGACAGTGAAAGTCATTCTAGGTAGAGAGTACCGCCCAGACCATAAAGCACTTCTTATGTTAGTGTGTTAGTCAAGAATCTTCTTAAGTCATAGAAAAACAATTCAAAAAGCTTAAATAACGAAATTTGGAATAGAATGGCTCCAGTTACTAGGAAGTTCAAAAGGCAATTGAGTTTTCCAGCATGGCTAGTTATAGGTCTTAGCTGATGTCCTCATCCTGTCATCAGTGAAGGAATTTCTTCAGCTCTCCTTGGCTTGGATCCTATGTCCATCCCTAAACCAGTCTCTACAACTTCTGATAGAAGTAGTTATCTGTAGAATATCTTATAGAAGTAGTTATTCTGTAGAATAAGCCAGGCCTGGGTCATGTACCCGCTCTTACTTTGTGTAATTTAGTCAAGTCCACCCAAGTTATGTGGAATGAGAGTGGGGCAGGAAAAAATAGTAGATGTCTACCCCACCACGCAGAGGGCTTTAAACTTCATCCTAAGGACAAGGGAGGTCACTGAAGGATTGTTAAGTAGGGCTGTGTAATAATCAGATTTTCATTTCAGAAAAATCTATATAACGGCTGTAAAGGAAATGGGTTAGAGGAGTGCAAACTCGAGGCAATTAGAACTCCTGTAGTCGTCCAGAGGATGGTGGTTAGACATGAGCAATGGCCCTGAGCACAGGAAATCATCTTCTTCCCTTCGTGGGATCATTAAGTAGCCCATCAGCCAGACACAATGACGTGGGGTTTTTTCCACTTTCCACCTACGTTTTAGTCAGCAGGAGTCTAAGAAATCAGTGACACAAATCAGAAATGGTTCTCCTTTGCTGGCAGTCACTTCCAAAGGAATAGAACAGATCTTAAGTCCTGTGGATCCCTTGACACTATGACTCTATGTGTATCCGGGACAATTCAACCACACGCACTTATGCTTCATGTTACCAGTGTGAGGATCCTTGATATACAAGACCACGCTGTGTTTCTCTACACACAGTGTTGGAAGTGTGAGCTTCCAATTTATTCAATTGGAGATAGAAATCGGAATAACTGAAAGTTGTTGCCTGTCCCACACTATGCCCACCAACTTCCTATTTAGGGCATCAGCCCACGCAACGCCGCCTTAGATTTATGGAAAAAGCCCACAGATGATGGTCTTAATTATGTACCGCATCTTCAGCTTACAAAAGCCCTTTCTCATGTGTTAATTCATTGAATACTTCCAGCAACTCTATGAGATAGGCAGTAGCACCTCCATTTTATATATAAAGAATCAGAGGCTCAGAGAGGGAAAGTGAGTTGCCCAAGGTTACATGCCAGTTAAGTAGCTTGGAGAGGGGAGCAGATCTTTGGTTTAGAATCCTCTATCTTCCATGAAACCTACTTTTGAGTAATGGTTGTGAGCAAAAACTCTGGAGCCAGATTCCCAAGTTTGAAACCTTGGCTTGCTACTGATTAGCTAAGTGCTTTAAACAACATGTTACTGTATGTAACAGTTTTCTCAACTGTAAAAACAGAAAAAAAATTTTTTAATCTACTTCAGAGTGTTATTGTGAAGATTAAATAGTAAATACAAATAAAGAAGGTAACCTTATAATTTGTCAAAAAAATATATTTCTGAAAGTGAAAAGGAGCCCTAAAACTAAGTAAAATATATATTATTTTTGAAATATTCACTGACCAACATATTTTTTAATTTATTGGTGGATCTATAAAATAGTTCTATTCAAAACCTATTTCAGAAATCATTTTTTTCACAAAAATAAAATAATACAATTCAGTATACATTAAAGCCAAAAAATTTTTTGAAACTTTTTATATTGGTTTCCCAAACATTTGAAAAAAAACTATATAAGCATAATAATCATTCTTGGTATCTATTCACATACATTAATCAGTTTCTTACCCGTATTTGTCTCCAAAGGCTGTCTTGCAGGCTGGGTCTCACAGGCCTTGGCACATCTGGCTGGTCATCACGCAGCCAGCAGGGACAGCAAATGGACTCCTCTTCCTAACTCCACCCAGCCTGGAAGGAGTTGGCTGTCCCTAGTTGCTCCTGCACAGGGGCACTTCTTTCTAACAGCATTCTGAATGAAGATCATGAAAAGTAAGTGTTACTTACATCGTATCTTGAAGGGATTGCAAAACAGAAATGGGTTATCATGGTTGATTCTATTGTAGGGTGGGCAAAGCAATAAGAGAAACTTATTCCAACTTATTTTAATGCAACTATGAATAAAATTCTGCTAAAAAAAAAGAAAACTTGAAGATCAAGGCTAAATGAACAGGATACCCCAGCGCTCTTCTGGGCCAACTGGCCATATAGTCACCCTAAGAATAAAGCACCAGAATATAGTCTGACTCACAGAAAGCACTAGCTATTTTTATTGCTGTAGCCCTCCTTGTTGTTATTACTATGATACCACTTCTGTACGTTTACTATAAACAATACACTGTGCTCTATAAACATCATCTCATATAATTTTCTCCAAACTCCCACCTGCGGCATTCGTTTACTTTACTGGCATGGCCCTTAAAGTCATCTGAATTGGGACTTTCCGAATCTAATCTGGAGCCTAAATCATTACATTAGACTTTGCCTTCCTATTCTCTATTCCTATAGTATTTTAAGTATAAAGCACAAGGTAGTGGACATAATCTGAGGCCTTATCTTATATACTCCAGATGTTTCACGTGTGTTAGTCACCTCCGACCCAACAATGACTATGAATTCCTGAGGGCATGGGCCAATGAATCGATGGTAGTTTTCAGATGCAAGCATAGAAACCAACTCTGGCTAATGAAAGCAGAAAAATAATTTATTCGAATGTATTATGTGGCTCACAGAATCTCCAGGAGGGCTGGAAAACTAGGCTCAGAGGCTTTGCAGGCAAGATCAAGGCCCTGTTCACACCACAGAACTGGTTGGTCCTGTGAAGACAAACTAGCAGCATCACTGAACCTAGACCTCCCAACTTACACCTCCAACAGCCCCACAGCTGGACACTAAACACTGCAAATAGAACTGTTGCCAGAACCACTGCAGAGACCCCTGCATACCTGTTGCTGTGACCACCATCCCCCTTAGGATAAAACGGGAGTATTCCTGAGTTTCTTTGTTTCATCAGTTTCTCAGAAAGGGGTGAGTGCACCCAGCTGGTAGGTAGCTATGTCTGCTTAGGCTGCTATAAGAAAATACCATGGACAGGGTAGCTTAAAGATCAACATTTATTTTTTACCGTTTGGAAGTTAGAGAATTCAAAACCAAAGTGCTGGCAGATCTGGTCTCTGTTGAGGGCTTCCTTCCTGGCTTACAAACAGCTGCCTTCTTGCTGTGACCTCACAAGGTGGAGAGGGAGAGAGAACAAGTTCTCTGGTCTCTTCTTATAAGGGCGCTTATAAGATCCCATCATGAGAACCTCACCCTCAGGACCTCATCTAAACCTAATTACTTCCCAATGACCCCACCTCCAAATACCATCACATTGGGAGTCAGGGCTTCAACATACGTTTTTGCAGGAGATACATTCAGTCCAAAGCACCATGTCACTTGCCCATGCTCTGCTGTAAGGAAGGCCAGGAAAGCAAATAGTTGGCATTTTCACCTTCTTTGATAATAGAGACTTTACCTAATAGGATGAAAATTCCCCCAAACATAGGCACAGTGTCCAGGTACTGGGCAGTCAAAAATCATGACAAATGTCTACTACAGCCACAGCTTGCATTTCTTTAGTATCCTTCTCAAAGCTGAGCAGCACTGAACCCTGAGGTCTCCCCACTGATGTCACCCATGATCAAAGTGATGCCATGGGGACAAATTTAAACAGCAGGACTTCAGACAGTTGGGAGAATGAGAATGTGAATGTTAGCATTCCAGAGCTCCTTCCGCTTAAGGTCTCCTTAGCCATACAGGGGTTCAAAGTAGGCAACAAATTCACTGATAAACTTAGAACAAAAGAAGACTGTACCTACTATAAATTGCTTTGGTCTCTTGACTTTAAAGCAGAGTAGGAAACAGTAGAAGAGAAAATGTGTCTCTGTATCCATTAATCAAGTGATGGCTTCCCAGGAAAACACCTGACACCTTAATAGTCACTGTTCAGTTAAACCTCAAATCTTTCCTACCAAATCCCCCTAATTTCAAGACTGCTGAGTTTATAGCAGTCAGTGTATGGCACTTTAGTACCATAGTGCTGGGCAAAAAAAGTACGAGGAAAATGTTGATAAAAAAAAAAATCCCAGGACCGTAATCCAAAGAAAAGCTGAAGAACACAAAACATACAAGTTGACCCCGCACAACCTGAAATGAAAGATTTCATCTATTACTCATCAGACCACCCAAGGCTGCAATACTGACTGAGACATGTGACCTTAACAGAGAGCTGAGAATCATTCCCAGGCACCAGGCACTTGCCTTGATGGGGACAGTGTTGGCTTTTCGTGACCCCTACGCTGGACACTGAGAACCCACCAAGAATTTACGTGCCAGGCACTGTGCTTTGTACTTTGATGAAAAATCAAGGTGAAAAAAAATGCCATCTCTGATACTGCCAAGTTTATAATCTATAGGAAACTAGACAACAAGAATTCAAATTGCTGTAAGGTAGAACGTGATAAATGTCCTGAGGGCTGTGTCAAGTGCATGAGGATTCCGCGGAGGGAGACAGCAGGGAACTCAAAAAAGGCAAAGGGCAGGAAAGAGTAAATGCAACGTCTAAAGCTTCCTTCATGGGCTTCCCTGGTGGCGCAGTGGTTGAGAGTCCGCTTGCCAAGGCAGGGGACACGGGTTCGTGCTCCAGTCCGGGAAGATCCCACATGCCGCGGAGCGGCTGGGCCCGTGAGCCATGGCCGCTGAGCCTGCGCGTCTGGAGCCTGTGCTTTGTAACGGGAGAGACCACAAGAATGAGAGGCCCGCATACAACAAAAAAATAAATAAAAATAAAGCCTCCTTCATGACTGCAAGTCATTTTCACAGATTATTAAATATAGTTAAGGCTACAACAGACCCTGCAGGTCATCTAGAACAATCTCTTCTTTTTGTGCTTAAAGAAAATGAGGCTCTCAAGGAGGTGAGAAGCAGAGTCCAAATTAGAACCCAAGTTTCCTGACTCCGAAACCCATTTGATTCCTCTATAGTCATGAGAGGTTTATGAAAAGAAAATTTTCCTATCCATTCTTGTGCCCTGAACACCACTATGCCCTTATACCCTAAACATTGAGAGAGGCCATTTGATCTTGTCCCTTGGTGGTGTGTCACTGAGGTACACATGTCTGGGGAGGAGGGTTATCACAGGGACCCAGCAGAGACGCCTACTTAGCTTAGCCGAGGTGCTGATAGACCCACCGTTCTATAAAAGCCCTTCAGCACATAGCCTCCTGACACAACTGGGAGAGGCACAGAGATTGCCAGTATCTGATCCAGGGGACTGAGGCTCTGAAGGGACAATTGAAAATTCAGTCTAGATTGAGCCGGTTTGGCTGTAGTCCTGTCTGAGCAAGTGTGAACTCAGATGTCTCAGGTTCAGGATGTCATCAGGTGACACCTAAGGACACAGTTCAGGGCACAGTGCAGGGCACGCTTGGCAGCAGCAGGGAAAAGAATGTGAACACCACACAACTTGTCCACAGCCAAGAAATCAGAGCCAAGGGGGCCTAATTAAGCTTTGAAATGCTCGCTTAACATAGAGGAAGTTCATTCCTCCTTGGTTCTGTCCCCTCCCCAACTCTGGCTAAAGATTCCACCTAGGAAGATGGCGGAAGAGTAAGACGGGGATATCACCTTTCTCCCCACAGATACACCAGAAATACATCTACACATGGAACAACTCCTACAGAACACCTACTGAACGCGGGCACAAGACCTCAGACCTCCCAAAAGGCAAGAAACCCCCCACGTACCTGAGTAGGGCAAAAGAAAAAAAGAATAAACAGAGACAAAAGAATAAGGACGGGACCTGCACCAGTGGGTGGGAGCTGTGAAGGAGGAAAGGTAGGAAGACCCTTCGCGGGCGGAGACTGCGGGTGGCGGAGGGGGAAAGCTTCGGGGACGCGGAGGACAGCACAGCAACAGGGGTGCGGAGGGCAAAGCGGATAGATTCCCGCACAGAGGATCAGGGCCGACCGGCACTCAGCAGCCCGAGAGGCTTGTCTGCTCACCCGCCGGGGCGGGAGGGGCTGGGAGCTGAGGCTCGGGCTTCGGTCAGAGGCAGGGAGAGGACTGGGGTTGGCGGCATGAACACAGCCTGCAGGGGGTTAGTGCGCCACGGCTAGCCGGGAGGGAGTCCGGGGAAAAGTCTGGACCTACCGAAGAGGCAAGAGACTTTTTCTTACCTCTTTGTTTCCTGGTGCGCGAGGAGAGGAGATTAAGAGCACTGCTTAAAGGAGTTCCAGAGACAGGCGACAGTCGCGGCTAAAAGCGCGGACCCCAGAGACGGGCATGAGACGTTAAGGCTGCTACTGCCGCCACCAAGAAGCCTGTGTGCGAGCACAGGTCACTATCCACACCTCCCTTCCGGGAAGCCTGTGCAGCCCGCCACTACCAGGGTCCCGGGATCCAGGGACAACTTCCCCGGGAGAACGCACGGCGCGCCTCAGGCTGCTGCAACGTCACAGGCCTCTGCCGCCGCAGGCCCGCCCCGCACTCCGTGCCCCTCCCTCCCCCCAGCCTGAGTGAGCCAGAGCCCCCGAATCAGCCGCTCCTTTAACCCCGTCCTGTCTGAGCGAAGAACAGACGCCCTCCGGCGACCTACACGCAGAGGCGGGGCCAAATCCAAAGCTGGACCCTGGGAGCTGTGAGAACAAAGAAGAGAAAGGGAAATCTCTCCCAGCAGCCTCAGAAGCAGCGGATTAAAGCTCCACAATCAACTTGATGTACCCTGCATCTGTGGAATACATGAATAGACAACGAATCATCCCAAATTGAGGAGGTGGACTTTGAGAGCAAGATTTATGATTTTTTCCCCTTTTCCTCTTTTTGTGAGTGTGTATGTGTATGCTTCTGTGTGAGATTTTGTCTGTATACCTTTGCTCCCACCATTTGTCCTAGGGTTCTATCCGTCCGTTTTTTTTTGTTTTTTGGTGGGTTTAT